TCTAGGGAATCTACCTTCCGTACCTTTTATTTCCGCACTAACCTGGGACATCTCTACTTCAGAGTTAAAATTGCAAAATAGGAAGCCTCCTGTCCTGTTATAAAATTTAAGATTATGCTAGCTTTAGTGTACTAATAATCTTAATTTTAATAAGTACAGGAGGCAAGTATTTTCCCTCCCTTCTGTTCCCTGCCCTGACTCCTCGGGGGAGTGGATCTCAACGTGACGGATGTTTTCGTTATGACTATTTAGGGTTTTCTCCTTTTATTTGGGGTGTATTCTGTTTCTATCCCGACTCTCATCCCAGAAACACTGCCTTAGGCGGCCAGGATTTAAGTTGTATCGCATGCTTGCATCTAAACATGTATTTAAACTTTTACCGTAAGCACGCTAATTATGTATTTAATCATTTATGTTAAAGCACTCTGATAAGGCTCACCTGCTTGACCAGTTACGGTTCAGTACCTAACCTATTTTATACTCTCCTTTCAGTGTAATCCTCTTAAGGACCTCCACTGGATGCTGGTTCGGTTACCCTCACGACTCCGTTTGATGGGATAAGGACTTCGTTTCGTCTTGCCTCCAATCTCGTTTGCCAGGAGTCTCCTCAAGTTCTGCTCACCAGAGACCGTTGTTTGCAGTTTCGTTGGTTTTTCTTGTCGTTTCGAGCTCAGTCTGGACTTGGATGTCACTTCAAGAAAGAGGAAGTGTACAGGCAGCATGACCCTTATATATACTATGCTGCTCGGTGATTTTATGTTACTCTTTACATTTTTCTTTACTGCTGTGGAGTTTAGTAAAGAGAGTTAATGCAAAATACTCGCCTCCTGTCCTTATTAAAATTAAAATTATTAGTGCACTAAAGCTAGCATAATCTTCAATTTACTGCACTGTTTACAAACAAAAAAACAAAACAAAAACACACTACACACATACACACCAGTTCTACCATCAACAGTGTTTTGTGGACTGAGGGGAAAAATGCTTTCACTACCAATTGTTTATTTTTATTTTTTTCTTTCATACCCTTCTTGTGACCCTTTTTTTTTTTTTTTTTGTAACCTGCCTCACACAGGTATTCATACAGCTCCTGCTGGGACAGCTGTTTTCTGACACTTCCTATTCAGGAGTAGAAACAACAGATTGTGCTCACGCTGTGATCCTGTGATGCGTTCCCGGCATGAAGCTTCACGTATTCTGTGTCTGCCTTTTTTGTCGTTTACTTTCAGTAAATACTATGAGATGTCACAGCTGGAAAACAGGCAGAATAACAGTCTGACGCAAATGTCTCTGTCAAATAACCATTTACATAGCACTTAAACCACTTAGCAAATAAACTTAATTTTATAAAACCATTGTCTTTAATTGTACTTAACAGAGATTAGAGATTTGTCATAGTTATTCTCAAGCTTTATGGTATTAATTATAAATAGGTTGCATTTTATAATGTTTGTCATCCATCGCTTATTCCCTTCACCGAAAATATGAAAATGAGGAAAACGTATGTGTCCTAGAGATGCCCAAGACACTGAAATGTATTTCCATTTTTAGAAAGTATTATGGCACAGTTCTGAGGTCAGATATGGAAGGCATATATCAACTAACTAAAAGCTTCCCCCTTCCCCCTTTTAACTGATAGCATCCCAGGAAGCTATCAGGATATATTTTAATACACATATTATTTGTATTTATTTTAATATAATGTAACTATTTCCATTACCTTTAAAATAACCATTTCCATTACCTTTTGTGTAATTTTATCACATCTCTATTAGATTGTAAGCTCATGTGAACAGTTTCTTCAGTACGTATTGTTTCTGTATGTCAGAGGTATCTCCTTATCATAGCTGTCAGTGAAACATGTTAAATGGATGTTGAGGAACCAAACTTATACATCATCATAGTAGGGGCAGAGGAGCGGAGCTGTGTGTGCCAGGTAAGCCACGTTTTTTTTTTGTCAAACCAGTTGAAAGTAATCAAACATAAAATGTGTTGGAATTAACTTATATAAATTACTAAATATTATAAATTAATAAATATTTATAAAAAAAATATTAAAATGTTTTTTTTAAAAACATGAACTTATTTTTAAAGTTTAACCCCTTAAGGACCGACGACGGTTCAGGACCGTAATCGGCATTTTTACATTGCCGACCGGTGACAGTCCTAAACCGTCCTAACGGTCCAATGTACTTACCCGATCGCCATCGCTCCTGGTGTGGGGAGACTGCCTGCAGCCCAGACAGTCTCCCCATGGCGGATTAGGACCCCTGTGGCCATGTGATCTCTCAACAGAGCAGTCATATGGTCACAATAGGTGACCTAGTGTCTACCTGCATGGGGGACTGTCTGTGCTGACAGGCAGTCTCCCTGCTAGTGTAAAATCAATCAAAAAAAATAATAAAGGTTAATGTTAATTTAAAAAAAATATATGTGTGTGTGTGTATATATATATATATGATATATAGACATATATTTATATAATATGTCTATATATCATAAATATATAATGTCATACTAAGTGTATTTTTATATTAAAATGTACATATATTAATATAAAAATACACTTATAATTAAATTACACACGTGTATATATATATAATATATATTAACTATATATATATATTGTGTGTGTGTGTGTGTGTGTGTGTATATATATATATATATTATTATAAAATACAAATAAGTAATTTAAATTAATGTAAAAATAATAAAAATTTAAAAAAATATTATATCTATATGAAATTTTATTCTAACTGTATTTTGATATTAATATATATTTATATCAAAATACACTTAGAATGACATTGTGTATATATCTATGTATATATAAATAAAATTAATACGAAATATACATATGTCCATATACAAAATTACATAAATAATTATATAAATATACACGTAGAATTAAAATTTTAATTCTACGTGCGTATTTATGTAATATTTTTACATAATTAAGTAATTTTATTGATTGCAGTTTGAGGGACCTGCCTGCCAACCCAGGCCGAAAGTCCAGAGAATTTAATTTGCTAGCACTGTATTTTACCTTGTAATGTTCTACGACACCCTAAAACCTGTACATGGGGGGTACTGTTTACTCGGGAGACTTCGCTGAACACAAATAATAGTGATTCAAAACAGTAAAACATATCACAGTGCTGATATTGTCAGTGAAAGTGACTTTTTTTGCATTTTTCACACACAAACAGCACTTTTACTTATGATATAATTGTTGTGATACGTTTTCCAGTTTTGAAACACCAATATTTGTGTTAAGAAAAGTCTCCTGAGTATAACAGTACCCCCCATGTACAGGTTTTATAGCGTTTATGAAAGTTACAGGGTCAAATATTTTTATATTGAAAATGGCCAGGTTGGTTACGTTGCCTTTTGAGAGCGTATGGTAGCCCAGGAATGAGAATTACCCCCATGATGGCATACCATTTGCAAAAGAAGACAACCCAAGGTATTGCAAATGGGGTATGTCCAGTCTTTTTTAGTAACCACTTGGTCACAAACACTGGCCAAAATTAGCGTTCAATTTAGTTTTTTTACTTTTTTCACACACAAACAAATATGAATGCTTAACTTTGGCCAGTGTTTTCGACTAAGTGACTACTAAAAAAGTCTGGACATACCCCATATTGAATACCCTGGGTTGTCTACTTTAAAAAAAATATGTACATGTGGGGTGTTATTCAGAGATTTATGACAGATAATAGTGTTACAATGTCACTATTGATAAATTTTAAAAATGTATGTTTTGAAACCGCAATATCCTACTTGTACCTATAGCCCTATAACATGCAAAAAATAGCAAAAAAGCATGTAAACACTGGGTATTTTTAAACTCAGGACAAAATTTTGAATCTATTTAGCAGTTTTTTTCATTCGCTTTTGTAGATGAGTAAAAGATTTTTCAAGTAAAAGTCAAAAAACATGTATTTTTTTCAATTTGTCATCATATTTTTTCATTTTTTTTAAATTAAATTACATGAGATTATATAAATAATGGTATGTAAAGAAAGCCTCTTTTGTCCTGAAAAAAACAATATATAATTTGTATGGGAACAGTAAATGAGAGAGCGGAAAATTACAGCTAAACACAAACACCACAAAAGTGTAAAAAGATGCCTGGTCGCAAATGTACAACATCGCTAAAACAGTCCGGTCCTTAAGGGGTTAATCAAACATATGCAATCATTTGAAAAGTGTATTTAAACATTTTAAATCAAGGATGTTATCAGACTTCCTGAATCTTTGTTTCTGGGGAACTCAATGTTGCTTGGATTTCAGAAGGTAAATCAAACATGGCATCTTTACCACAACCATCTACAAGTGCCTTGGTTGAACGACACTTCTCAAGTTAGGCACGGCAGAATGCTGTTGTGATTTCAAAACCCCAAAAAGAAAATATTTTTTGTGCTACTTAAATGTTTTGTCTGTTTTTTTTTTATAATAGACTATGGAATGTGAGTTTGAGCTCACTTGTTTTTTTGTAGTTGTATTCACTTTTGGATCACACAGCTCTGTTACAATTCCATGTGTTCCTTATTAGGGGTTAAAAAGAATGTAAAGGTGTACATAAAAAAATACCCATTTCTGTCTCATTGGAAATATCTTTGCAGGAAGCTCAAGGAAGCAAGGTGAAAGGTTAGTGTAGGACCCAACTGAGAGGTTTGCCTTGACGTGGCAGGTGAGCTAAACTCTCTCATGGCCATTGAAGAAACTAAATAATCTCCATTTGTTTAAATATGCATAGGGATTTGCGAAGAGCGCAGGTAACTTTTCTTTGGTTTTTACTGTATGTATTGGGACTGATGTGTACTATGGTCGTTGCTGCCGCCCAGGAGTGATGGGAGTTTGAGCACAGGACTTGCTTTTTTGTAATAGAATATAGAATGTTTTTACAAAAATATTATGCACTAAAAGTTATTTTTTTTAAAATCAATATTATCTCTGGACAATCTTTATTTTGTAATTTTGTCTTTTGAACAATGGAAAACATGTGACAATCAGGTACACAAAAGTATATCCGTATAAGGAACAGTAATAATAAACATTACCTATCTGACAGGTAGATCTTCCAGAAGTACAAACATAGGTTCAAACAAGCAGCGATAGCGTTATCAGGCCTAACACAAACACTAGGGTATTCTCAACTGATACAGGATTTTTGGATTTATCCTGCCCCAGTGTACTTTCTTTTTTTTGTCAATCATTGTTTTATTTCCAGTTTGAAAGGTAACATCGACAACAGTGCTGTTAGCGAATTAAACAGGAAGTTAAAGTATTCGAGGTTGTCTCGATAAACATAACAGTCTGCACTAGACAGGCAATGCGGTTCAACAGTAAAACATGTGAACAAGTCCTTTTTATTATGCATTCATGTAGGAATATCTGTACCTTGGAAGGACAGGTGAACCAGGGTCATCTCCGCGGTCACCCTCGTTTGTCTCACTACGCTTGCACCTTAGTGCTGAAGGCTAGTGTGGGCTGTCCACCCTTTTCTGTTTACACTTCCCCATCCTAACCCCCCTGTCTCACATGTTATTCAGCTTTCAGCTGTTTGTCCTTGCTTCTTGTCTAACTACGCGTCATGAAGCGGGTAGGGGTCGGTAGGTCTCTACCTATGTGTTCGAATCTGTTAGGGCAGTAGCCAGTGGTTACCCCAAGGTTGGGGTCCTCGTGAGAAGTCCCCCATCTCTGTTTGTGCGTGTTCTACGTCGTGTTTTATGGGGATCTGGAACA